TTTTCTATTTCTGTATTCATGTGTCTACCACGTTTTTTCTTTTTTAACTCCAGTACACACAAAAAATAACTTGGTTGCAGTCAACTGGAATATTATATTCTAAAGAAGATGTGAGAAGAGAACCAGGACTAGAGGTCTGTTGTGGTTTGACCTCAGCTGGCAACTCAGCCCCACACAGCCACTTGTTCACCCTCTCACCAGCAAGACTGGGAGGGAGAACTGGAAAAGTAAAAGTCAGAAAACTTCTGGGTTGAGATAAAGACAGTTTAATAGGCAAAGCAAAAGCCATGCATGCAAGCAAAGCAAAACAGGGAATTCATTCACCACTTCCCATGGGCGGGCACAGGTTCAACCATCTCCAGGAAAGCAGGGCTCTTTAATGCATAATGGTTACTTGGGGAAACAAATGCCATCAATCCCATCATCCCCACCTTCCCTCTTCTTCCCCCAGCCTTATATGCTGAACGTGACACCATATGGTGTAGGATATCCCTTTGGACATTTGGGGTCAGCTGTCCCGGCTGTATCCCCTCCCAGATTCTTGTGCAGCCCCTGCCTAATGGCTGGTGGGGTGGGGTGAGAGGCAGAAAAGGCCTTAACCCTGTGTAAGCACTGCTCAGCAACAACAAAAACATCTCTGTGTTATCCACACTGTTTTCATTACAAATCCAAAATATTAACCCATACCAGCTACAATGGAGAAAATTAACCCTATTCCAATCATAATCAATACAATGTCCAAAGTCTGCATTATTTGCTGCTCTTGCTCTTGACTCATTCTTTAATCCTTCAATACGAAGCTTTAAATACATGAGGAACTTCACAAGCCAAACTAATGAATTATTATTTTAATACAAATACTGATTTTTCTAAAGCATGCAAAAGAAAATTAAATCAAAAGCCAGGTTTTACCAAAACATAAACACCTGTAACCAGTTGAATTTCTATGGCATCTTTGCTTTTAATTTGATTTTGTGCAATTTGTTTGCCTGCATTTCAGACATCACTGGCCTACAGCTAGTGAAGGAAAAATAAGCTGCCTTCTCTAATACTCAAACTTCCTTCTCATCTGAGTGTTTTGGAAGGGATGGAACATGCATCAACTTCAAAATACTATAAAAATTACTTCAGTCATGAGGGTGTATCAACTTCACAGTGCCTGTAGTTCTATGTAAAGCCAACTACAACCTGAACAGCTTATTATATTCAAAATCTAGACGTATGCGCAGGCATAAACGTCAGCTTTCTAATCATGGCCATATAAAGAATTTATGTTAGCAATAGAGCATTTTTAGAGGTTCTACATAAATTATGGCAGTTAAGATAAAAACTTCACTCTCTATTTCTTTGCTTTTTTCCCCCCTTGCTTAATTTGATCAATTCATTGTTATATTATATTGTTAAGAACTTTACTTATCTAGAGCTGCATTCTCATCTATGTTGGGGCTTTGTTTCTTTTCTTCTCTCATAAGCACTTCTGATATTATTGTAGAGGTATCACAACCCAAAGCTCCTCTAGAAATCACTTAGTAAGTTTCAAGAAGGTTGGATATTTTTCTTCTCTGTGAAGGCTCTTTATTTCAATACTGCTAAATCATCTGAACTGAAAACTATTTATAAACTAGTTTTGCAGAACAAAGCCTTTAGAAAACACTGAATTGCTGTAGATTACAATATTTCGAAATGAATATTACCTAATGTGTTATGCAGTCTTAATTTTAAACCTTTATTCAAATTATACCAATAGAACATAATCTTATAGTGCAAATATAAGGCACACTTCATTTGAGGAAGCACACATAAACTTTTTTTCTTTTAGAGCTCTTTGGTACAGGTTTGTGGCCTTTCTAGATATAACTATAATACCATTCTTTTCTTAAATAAGGTAAATTACTAAATATCACAAGTTTTTATATATTTTCATATTCATTTTCGCACACACACGTGCCAAAAGAACTCATACCTCTTTTACACTGGATTTATTCTAGACAAAATAGTGCATGTCTTCCTGCTTTATGTTTTGTTAACTCTCCAATAACATGTTTGGGGCTTAATCATTTCTCCTTTTTGTTTCAAGTATTTTCTTATTGTAACCCCTAAAGACAGACTGACATCTGAGATCTCGTAACACAAGCATCAAACCTACATGAACTGACTTCTAATTCTAAAAATCACAGAGCTAGAAGAGACTACAGCTAGTCGTTATGCCATGCATGGCCTTAGACTTAACATCAATTATAATCAAATTTTCTTGACACACATTGGTCTAAATTATCCTGCAACGCCTCCAGTTTTAGGCATATAAACTTACCCGCATTCCACCAACGCTTTCCTCTCCTTATACATAAACAAGTTTTTGCAGTTATTAACTGCAGTCTTCCCTCCTATAATTTCATTATTCTTTGTCCCATTCACCATGAAAATAAGGGACAAATTACCATTTTTTTGAAACACTCTCACATATCTGACTGTCGTCATACCCCTCATGTCTTAATGATTAAATAAATTTTTCAATCTTTCAGTGCAAGTCATATTTTGTATATTTGTGATCACTCTTAATCCTTTCCTCTGAACTATTTAAATGCAATGACCCAAACTTGAATACTATTCTATTACCTTGATGATAACAAGAAAAGGGAAAGCAGTATTTTATGACTTACATACTATATTCCCTGAATATATAACAATTACTTTTGTCTTTTTTCATTTGTGGAGTTGGGCTGGAAGAGACTTTTGAAGACAATCTAGCCAAACCACCATAGATCACATTTTTTCAATCTGTCACATAGGACAGAAAGCCCTATTAAAGTCAAGATAAATCACATTTATGTTCTCAAATCCTGTTGTCCTGCTGTAGGAGGAAATTACATGGATTTGATAATTTTGTATTGGCTGCTGCTCATATCCTTGTTGTTTTCCAGTGCTAACAATTTCAGTCAGTTGTTGAAGCATTTTGTGAGAGCAGAAATTAAACCAGTGGCTGAATTATACTTTGGTCTTCTATTCTCCTTATTTAAAGAGAGACACTGGCTTTCCCTTCACGAACTTTTCAAGTTTCATGCCCGTCACATGCTCCTAAGTGCAACAGTAGTATCCAATGTTTCATCATGAGGTTCTTTAAATTCTTCATTAGGAAACTCATAATCCCTCGCTGACTTGATAAACTCTAATCTCTAAATTGTTCCTTTCTCATTCAAAGTTGACATCTTTACTTTTATCACTGGTATGAACTATAGTACTTCTCAATTTGCAATTGATCATCCTTGTAATGACCAAGGCAAAAAGTCATTACAAAATTTGACCTTCTGAGTATCATCCAGCAACAGCTTTTCCTCTCCGCTGAACAGCTGACCAATTCACCCTTTCCTTCACCTTCCCTGTGTTACAACTGCACTTCTAAATTGATTGATATCTCTTGGCAGATGCATCTTGTTTTGAGCTTTGACTTTTTAAAATTTTGTTCCTACATGTTCATGTTATATTTATCACTCTTCCTCAGTAGTCTGACCTACTTTCTGCTTCCAGCTTGATTCTTTCTTGTGCTTATGGTTCATGCACAGTTCATGCTTTAATCAAGCTGATCTCTTACTGCATTTTTTTCTCTTTTCTTCACAGCAGGGTAGTACATACCTGTGGATGGATATTGTTATTGTGTGTACTATTTGTAAGGTGTTAACTCTATAACAGCATTTTCCTTCACATGAGATCTGACTTACCCTGTCTGTGAATTTATTGAAGTCTACCTTCTATCCCTCAGTTGCTGTTCTTCCTTCTTATCCTGAATGACCATGAATCTTTTTTCTGATGGCCACTCTTAAATGGACCTTTCAGCTTCCACACTATTGTCAACTAATATAAAAGAACCTCTCCTTTACTTGCTTTCTTTACTTCTTGTATCAAAAGCATTTTCCCTGATACAGTTCAAAGATTTTCCAAGCAATCTTCTGTATTTATTTCCCAGAAGATATTCCTTATTATGCCCAGTTACATTTTGCTGAATATAAAGTTTCTTGCAACTTATTACATCTTTTTTTTTCCCCTCGGTTCTTTTCTATTTATGCTACAAACCTTGGAAATAAAGATGCAATCCAAAGCTATATCTTGCATTTTAAGACAGAGGTTTTGGAAAATTTATGTCTAGCACATTTTGCTTGATAGAGTACAAAGGTCAGCTTCAGGATAGCATTTTCAGAATAGCTTCCATTGTTGACGGCACAACCCAGAGCACACGAGCTCTTGCAAGTGGGGGCATCTCATATGCTACTGATATGGCATATGGCATTAGGAAGTGAATAGGTCAGCAGGCAAGTCTAGATGGTCCATGTGCCTGTCCACAGTCAATCTGGGGTTTGTCTACAGGATGTGAACAATGCAAACAAGTGGATTTGGGAGTATGCCAGACTGCTAGATGCTCATGTATGTCCTGTTTAAACTCATGATAATCTCACTGAATCACATGGAAGGGAGAATACTAGGGAGACCTGCTACAGTAAAAGCAAACCTTTCTGAACACAGCTGGACCTTCCCCAGGAAACAAAAGACACTTCTTAATATCAAAATCTCAAAACACAAATCTAGATAATTATGCTATCTTGAGAGCTATAAGCAGAAAAAACATGAAAGAAAGAGAGAGAAAGAGAGAGAGAGGGAGAAAAAGAGAAAGAGAGAAGAAAGAAAGGAAAAAAAGAAAGAAAGAAATAATTATAACACACCAAATGTAAACTCTTCTGTTTTATTTAAACAAGAGGGGGTTTTATAGTTCATAAAATACAGTATAAGAAAGAAATAGTGATCTCATAAGATTAAAATTGTCCGGTACCAGCATGCAGGTCCAATGTCCATGGTCAAATGAAAACTTGTCATTTCAAGTCAAATAATTACTCATCAAACATAATGCAAATGACAAAATGTAAAGTTTGCAAGTTGAAGCTAGATCCTGAACAGACTTCTTGTATGCAATAACATAAACACTTCTGGCATGCGTTTGAAACCAACCCGTTGCAGGCTTACCAAGAAGCCACAGGACAAGGCATTTCAGGTGAAGGCAATAATACCTCGCAAGCAGAACATAATAATGATGTTTCCCTTTTCTTATTATATATTTAACACAAATTGGTGGTACAAAGAGCCCAAAAGAAGCCCTATTCTCTATCAGATCATACATCGGGCTTGGGATCATATTTTAAGGTTTCAGCTTTTATTTTAATAAGAAGTGTTTTGGCATGCTGAGTATTTTTTTAAAAGTATTTTTTTAAAATGTAACTTGATGTAACCAATATCTTGAATTCTGTCTGTGTCTGTAAAGATTTGGAATTAATAGATATGAAAAGAACAAATTGGCCCATATATCATAATAAAGTCTTCTTTTAAAAAGGGTAAATCAATCTTTTAGACCTTCAACTTCTAAGTTTTAGATACATTAAGTGAAGAAGATTTTTAAACCCTAGCTACCTTTGGGGGCAAAAAGCTTAATATAACCACCTGCATAGTAAAACATGGGGACCTCAACAGCTTACTCTTTAGAGTAAACACTTCTTGCAGGAAACAGAACAGCAGGAAGGATGCAAGAGATGAGCTAGTGTTTTCCAGAAATACTTAAGCCAGCTCAACAGTAAATAACAGGCATATGCACTTGTCTTAGCAATATAAGGATTACCTTAGTGCTAAAATAATGGACTAAAATGGCTTCTTCTGTATTGAACATAGGAAAGTCTCTCCTTGTAGGTCCCACCAAGAACTTAAGCTAACTTAGACTTAATTAAGTTACCAAAGATGTCTTCCATCAGCAACAGTCTCCTTTCTTTAATTACACTGGTACCTTATTCTTCCATTACCTGCTGAATAGTGTGTCTGTATGTAAATTTTTAACTCCTGGGCTATGGACTCTTGATGTCTCTGCTATTGATTTCTGATACTCTAGTGGTCACAGTGCAGGATTAGGGTTTATCAGAATGACTACTGGTGGATGAAAAGATTTACGGAGACTGCCTTCACTGCATGTGCGAGAAGAGTGCCCTATAACAATGCAGTGGGACTTACATAGCAAGTTACTGGGGCCTCCTGACGTCCAAGAGTACCCCCGGTCAGGGGAAGTAATGGTTGCAAAATTGTTGTCCTTACATCAACTAGGTAAGAAGCCCTTCATCTCTGTTTATGAGGCCTCTTCTTTTCCCTTTGTCACAAAGAATAGGTGCTGGTTAGACATTTTAATCTCTCTCTTAGAACCAATTTTAATTGTGAGCACAGAGCACTGCTTTATTTTGAGCCATTATTAAAAGGCTCTGAAAGTGCTGGGAAGTGGTGTTATCACACAGTTTATGATTTGAAACACCTGCAGCATATTCAGATCCTTGCTGTTTTTGTAAAGCTCCCCAAATCACACCCTAGTTCCTGAGATTAGATTTCTTCAGCTGCTGTACTTTTCCAAGAAAAGTGCTCATCTTCATTGCCAGTCCTAAGCATATCAGTAACCTTTTCTTTTTAATTATTGCTTAAACACAATAAAATAAAGTGTTTTAAGGCTAAGAACAGAAAGTAGAAGAACAATATGTGGCTATCTACCCAGAGAAACACACAGTACAGAATAAAGGAATATGTTTGCACTGTCCAGGGATGGTTACCCTCAGGTAATGTATCCCTGGAAAATATTGCTGTCCTGCTATTATTAAAAATTATACCATCAAACATTTCCTTCCATTCTTTCTGGCAGCTGTATGCTGGTCTCTCTCTCCCCGATGCACATGAGAAAGGTTTGATCTTATACCCTCCAGCACTACTTGATTCCTTGGTGCCTGATCTGGTCTTCTAGCCTGAGAGAAATTAAATTTTTTATAAACATAAACAGTTAAAGAGATCTTTTACATGCCAAGGAGATTTTAGTGCAGATGGTCAAAAAAATAGAGATACAAAAATAAAGGAGTTATCCCACATGCAAAGAATTTTGCCTTTGTTTTATTTGGGATTTGGGGATTTGATTGTGTCTAATGGTTAAGCATCTACCTATTGTATCAGTCTTCCTCAGGGAAATGAGACAGCAATAAAGAGAAGAAACTGCTTTCGAAGATGTCCTAAATGAAGCTCCAATTCACCAAAATTAAGCACTTAGTTACTGACATAAAGAAATCTAAAAATTCATCTTACATGGAATGGATCTCACTCTGGAGGTCTTCAAAAGCACTTAACTTTTCTCCTAATTCTAAAAAATGAATTTATTTATTATAAAAACAAATACATAAAATTTTTGTTTGATTGATTGTTTATTTATTTATTTATTTATTTATTTATTTGCAGAACAATACTGGAGGAACAAACAGGCACTAACAATGAAGATCACGGTGCTAGAGCTACATAAATGTACCTACCCTTCCTTTGGGAAAGCAGAATTTGGGAGAAGTT